ACGTGACGCTGGTGGCGCATTGGCGCTGGTGGTGTGTGCGAGGAGTTTCTTGAATGATCGTGAATTTCCTAGTTTGTTTCAGACGCCCTCTTTTTTAGTATATAAGCCCGGCAAATAAAGAAGAGATAGGCAGATAGATTGAAGAGATAGATAATTGAGTCAAACGAACAGTAGGCACCGTAAGTAAAGTGTGTGAATCATTGCGATTTATAGCGTGTGTTATAAAGGTTGTTAAGTTTAAAATGACTGTGGAAATTCTGTGTATTAAAAAGTTGTATCAAGAAAGAATAAACTAGTTTTAATTAAGAAAGGACTTGCATCCCTGAAGTTCCTCGGAAAGAATTTATACTGGAAATTAACAAACGACCAGATACGTAACAATAATGATCAAGGTTTTGAAGTTGATGAAAGCTCACAAGCATCCAGCCACTTCTTGAAATCAAGGGCCATTTTATGAGAAAGAAGTTCAAAGAAACTGGAATCATAGCAATCCTATTTGATCACAGACCTGCTAAGTCTCCTGATACAACTCCAGTAGATTTATCGCTTCTAGTCTACTTAAATATGATCTTGGCAGCTGATGGACATGTACAGAGAGGATCCATGAAATGTTTGAGAGTTACATCACAATCCTCTGGGAAAGCTTGTTAGAGTGGAAATTAAAGTTTCAGGAAATAGTGCAATAGTCAAGAGTGTGATTAACAGTGAAGTAGTTCTAAGGACAGCACATGACCTGAAAGTGCAGTTAACCTTTAGTGTAAGTTTGGGACATTTTTTTAGGCTGATAATTTTTTCTATTAGAACTGTTAACTGGTGGAATAGCTTACCTGATAATGTGGTGCATGCTTATACATTGTAGTACATACGATTTTATAGGATACTTTTATGGATAAGAAAAAATATATTGAAATTGCTTTCTGTTTGGTTTTCATTATGTGGTCTTTTAGGGATGATTGTGATGAGAAAAATAGTCTTCTCTCACCTTGCTTGATCTTATGTTCTTAATTTTTTATTAGGCTGTAGAAAAGCCCAGTTAAACCTTAAAGTAGCTACACCTCCTTGAAACTTTTAATGTAGTTAATGCAATATTTCTTGTAAATGATAAAGATTTCCATGTAAATGCTGAAGAGAATAATGACACAAGAATAAGCCAGAACTTAACCCTTTGAGTGCATAATTAACTTTCAGATGGCTTCTCAAAAATTGTAAATTATCCACTAAAAAAAGAAATTTTAAATTAATTTTATCTTTTTTTTTACTACTTTTTCAATATAAAAATCCTCTAGTTTTGCTCGGTGATGTATGCACACTCTGTTCTAAGATGGGAAATTCAAGGACATATGAGTATTCTGATTGTCACACTATGAGGAAAAGTTTTGTGATGCCATGAGGTAAATCCGCTTGTTGAACCAAATGGCTGTAAATGTCAAGTTGGATAAATTTGTTATAGTATCTAAATGGCTATGAACAGATGAGGTGAGAGAGATGTTCAGTTCAGCATGTTGTGTAAAAGTCCTTGAAAGCTAACCACATTCCCTGATTTTATTGATGCTAAGCTATACCATTGCGTTTGTCTGAATTTCACAAAAAAATTTCTAGAAAATGTGACTCATAAAATGGAAAGTATGCTGACTTGGCAACACTAATCTGTAACAGACTGAACTGTGTACCTCCATCTTCAAACAAACAGTTGTCAAGTGACTGTTGTGGGAATGATATTGTTAGCATAAGATAAACTCAAGACTTGTTTACCAGAAATGTAAAAACCATAAAATTATTGGTAGGATAAAGAACATGGATGTTTCAGAATTTTATTAATTTCCTCTTCAGCTTAAAGACTTCAAGATTTCAAGAATAATGAATAGTGTTTCTAACCTAAGTTCTTGATTGGTTATTGACTAAAATTTGAATAATAAAAATGAGATAGACTTGTAAATCCAATATAGCAACAGTATAATAGAGTGAATGTCATAAACCTAATTGCTGTGCATGAAATAGTCAAATATTTGCCATTAAAGACAGCACATCAGCTTGTATCTTATTAGGTCAGTGGTTATTTATACAGTGATTGATCTTGGCTGGGAGGTTTTGAATGACATTTTGGTCCCTATTGATAAATATTTTATGAATGATCATTTATTTTTAAGAGCAATCAGGACTGTAAATATGATATTGTTATGTATGTTATTAATATTATTTTGTCTCTTTGTGTTCTTATTTATTTTTGCTTTCAGATATAAAATTAATAAATTTCTTACAAAAAAAGGTTTTTACTCTGTGATGATTTATACACATGACATCACCCTTGAGAACAAATACAATTATTCAGGAATAGTTAAATATTGTTTAAGCTTGAGTATATGTTCTTGGGGTACTTCTGGTGCCAAGCTGCTTAACTTTTCTTATTACCTCCAATATGTTACTGGTAGTAGTTTGTGATCTTGCCTGTTTATTTTTTTCTCCCTGTTGAAATCATACCTCACTTTGCTAACTGAGACAAGTCAATACTAAAAATATGTGAGTGGTTTGTTGACCTACTATTTGAGTGTAAAATCAATGTAAAAATACATATTTCTGTATATATGTGTGAGTTCTCTTATTTTGTGCTCTTTGTATTACAAATTTTATAATATTTATCTAGTTCATTGACAAATTTTATTTTTAGTCAAAGCTCAATGGCATTTATCATCATATAAATTGGTAGAAACTAGATTTTTAGGAGTTTCTGTTGTACATAAGAAACTTGATTTCACACTAGAAAAGTGTTTTATAAACCTTATATGCTTTTTTTTTTTCAGGTTTCATATAAGACTCTTAGTAGAATTCTGTCTATCCATGTAAACACAGCAAAGCAGTAAGTATGCTTAACTAAAGCTTTTTTAAACTTATTGCTTTAAAATAAAGGAATAGTTGATGTCACTTTGAGACTATTTTTCTGTGACTCAGCTTATTAGATATCTAAATAATTAGCAACCCTACTACTGACACTTGCTTTGTAATTACTCTGAAATTTATCATGTTGCAGAAGCCTTTATGAAGGAAAGTGCAGCATATTTATCTATACATATATTGTGAATGAAATGTAAAGTAGCAGATTCGGAGTGGTATAACGTTTAATACATACTTGTATCCACATGCATGTATTTATATGAATTCAAAAAAAATTCTCCATAGGTGTTAAAAACAATGTAATTATAGACTATGTAAAAACTACAGCCCAAAGTTATACAACTAAATAAATGACAAAACAAATTTTAAACATTTAACCTTAAATTTATTGAAAGTTAAGGATGTTTTATAAATCTGTGTGATTTTTGCAGGTTATATATTTTGTATAATCTAAAATGTTTTTTTTTCTTTTTCTAGTTCATTAGCAATTTTTCTAAAAAAAGTGAACAGCGAGAAAGTCTATGCTTGTTATCTGTTGGCTGGCTCACAGAACTTGGGTTCGGGAGATGAGGTTTGAGTTTTTGAGTGAAACTAGTCATATTCTTAACATGTTTTAGAACTTGTGTAAAATTTGATGGTAACAACATAATTTTTTTTAGGTCTTAATATACAGAAATGTTTAGGTTTAATTTTCTTTGTTGATAATGAAATCTTTTTTTTTATCTGGTTTCTTTTATCATTAATTTTTATCAGTGTATTGAACATTCAGTATAATATTGTTGTTATAATTTTAACAATATTTGTGTGTATAAATATTTTGAAAGAAAAACAATTGAACATCTGTGTATTCTTAAATTATCTCAATTAAGCATGTAAACATACTAGGTTACCTATTTTAAACACCTGTATAGGTGTTTTTTTCCACATGTCCATGCTAATAAGTGACAATACTATGATAAAAGTGGTCGCTTCTATAGTGTGTGTTTATAGTAGCTTAGGAGGAATTTTTTACAAAAAAAATAATTTTCATTTAGAAGTTTTTGTACAAAAAATCACAGTGCAAGCATGTGTGCTGATTCTTATATTTATACCCTTCTCTCTCTTCAAATATATGTCTTAGTTATTGAAAAAAGTATATGTCCTAGGATTTTATGTATTTGTAAGAGTCCTTTTGGGATATAAGTAAAGTATCTCAGTCCTTCACATTTGAAAATTGCACAAGGGCTGTAAACATCCCCTGCCAAATAGTCTACAAAGGCTTTTAATGGGCCGATGCCATATCTTGACTTTTGTTTATAAACTTGGACAATAAAAGTTAATTTGCATTGACTGAACTGCACTGTTTTTGAATCAACAATATAGAGTTTTGCTGGCTAAACTTAGACATGTTCACAGAGTGCCACTGAATTAAGATGATCTCTGATCAATATGGTAACCCCTGCAACTTCGTGTCAAGCTGAAAGAAGTTCATCAAATGGAATTTATGTCCCAATCAAATTTCTTAAAACTCTTCATAATACTCTGAATATGCTAATAATTAATGATAAAGTTTGTAATTTAAACTTTAAAATATCAACTTAGTTTCTCAGTTACAAATATTTGATGTCCATATACAACAATATATTTTAAAATGCTGTATTAATACACGTGTAACATCACTAGTTTAGGCCAAGTACTGGAGCCATAAGCAGCCAACATGGTCACACAAAGTCACCTGTGAGCTTGATCTGTGTATAAAAACAAGTTGATTGTGTGGTCAATGTCACGACAAATAATAAAGGATATGATTTCAAAAGTATTTATTTCTTGGTAAGAATAAAAGGACGGAAACTACAGTCATTTTAATTTTTAATAACTTCAATAGATTTTGTTTTAAGGGTAAGTATTTTTACATATTTGACAAGACATTTTACTTTTTTATATGCCCATTAAAATTTTCACTTGTCCCTGACAGTGTAAACCAGCTTTATCTACTTAAAGCATTATATCTAATTTTACTACTTCTGCTTAAAAATACAGGGATTACTCTATAGTTCAGACAAGAGAAGAGGTTATTTAGCCATAATAATACCATTTTAATTTTATTAGAGGTCATAGTCCACATTTGGCAGGCACCATCACACTGACACTCAAAAGTGCCTGTAAAATAAGTTTTGTGCCCTCTACTACTATTATGCGGAGTTAGGTGATTTAATCGATTAAGTGCTGTGATCAGTTAACCATGACCAGTGATTATATTGATTAATGTCACATAAACTAATTGATTAATTGAAATATAGCATTTTAGATTATTACTGTTTTTGATTATTTCAACAATTGATTAATTTAAATTACAATTAATAATCAACTAACCGAAATTAGGGTTTCCAATTATTATCATTTTTGATTATTCTAACAATCCAAGCAGTTATGTTTATTTGTTGTTAAACATAAAGCTACATAATGGGCTGTCTATTCTCTGCCTAATTTTAGCTTCACAAGTTTTTTTTTTTTTTTTTTTACATCAAATATGTTTAGCTTTGATGATTCTAGGTGAGGGGAGTGTGAATCAAAGATCGTCATAGGCTTAATTCCCATTGCTACCAAACTTGCTTGTCCTGACTAAGAAGAATATTGACTGATAGCAACCTGCCACCAACAATTTTTCTTGTTTGTAGTATTTTGGTTTGAGGAACACTGTACTACTCTGTTAGGACTGTTGATTATTCAGTTATCAAATACTGTTAATTGCCCAGATCTAGTTTCCTGTTTAACAGCTATTTGCATTTTATTTGCATAAAGCTTCCTTTTTATAATGCATCATTAACTTGCATAAACATACTAACTGCCACCTTGTGATTCTGGTTAATAAGCTAATGGATGTTACCCAAATGAAGCTGAAAGTAATTTATCACCATTGCTATTTGAAATTGGATAACATAAAAATTGTTTGTTGCAGCTCCCAGGTTTGCTACAATGTTTCTGGAAGAGTAGTAAAGTTTCTTTGGAATAGTTTCTTTTGTTTTTTTCATAATTCTGTTATTAAAAATATCCAAAAGTCCTCTTTGTTTACCTTGTCAACTTGACGTATTCTTATGTTATTTGTTACAAGTGAACAAGTTTTAAGTTGAAAGAACTACTAATTTAATCCTTCTGTAATTAGCAAGTTAGATATAATTGGGTAATTTTTGTTAAAAGTTTTCATTTAGATGTTCTGCATCTAGTTAATGACATCCTTGTAATCCAGATGTGGGAAGGTCATAATAAGCCTGCACTAATTTTTGCCTTAGCTGAGGTTTACATATTATGATGCTTGTTCTTTAGGCTCTTACTTGGCTGACCCCATTTCTGTCTCATGCCTTTCTGGAGTGAGGTCATGCTGTTTTCAGAGGGTGGTACAGAGACCTGCACAAATAAATGAGTTGGGAGTTTATCTCCCTTGAATATGTTTATTTGGAATGATTGTTGACATAAAAGTAGGAATCTACTACTCTCCTTCCAGATATCTCATTTTTGATTTTGTCTTTATTCAGTGTAGAAATTTTGAAAATTAGCACCAACAGCCACTTTCAGTCATACAACAAAATAGTATAAAGATTTTTTCTTCATTTGTTCACTTATGTCAGCTTGTTTTTCATTTGCTGTCAGTGTTTAGTGGATCATTGATTTCTGTCTGCTTGTCAGTGGTGTACCTGAATGTCACAAAAGATTTTTTGTTGTGAGGTTGTTATAATGAGCATCATTAATTATTGTCCTTACAAAAAATAAGACTAAATAATTTAACTTGAAATATCTCTCACACATATTAATTATTATAAGCTTGACACCCCTACTCCAATTAACACTACATAAATTGAAATAATTATCTTTTTTTTCTTTTTTTGTGACTATATTCTTGGCTAAACCACATGGATTATTTTTACCTCTTGCCAAATTGATCTTGATTCTTTGGAGCTCAAAGCTTTATGTATTGACCAATTAAAATAGATCATGGTATTTGTAGTAATTTATCAGTAAGATGTTACATACTGGCACCTCGGTTTTTGTCGCACTGAAATATGTTCTTATGGCTGAAAAGTTTTATAATTTTTTACCAAAGACAGGAAAAAAGATATAAACAAAATGAAATGTTATTAATTGGTATAAATGTAGAAAATAATACCTAAGTGAATACAAAATAACTGGACAGTTTTCTTGTTACACAACCGTGCACATGTATGTGAAAAAAGTCTGGTGCTGTTTGTTGTTTATTCTGTTCTAAGTAATTCAAAATCGTATGTGCATGTAAAATTTTTTTGTAGTTAAATGTAGAATTTTTATAGAGAGGATGCAAAAATTTCAAAATTGGTAAGTTATGTTTAAAATAGGGAATAAAAATTCTAGTCCTACAAATATTGGTATTTGATGCATAACAATGAGTTAGGCTTAACAATTAAGTTTTTGGAATATTTTTCTGTATTGATCATAGGTATATTATTTCATAATTATATATTGATCAAATAATGTATATAATTACATAAAAAATCTATTTATCAGACTACTAGCTTTATGTCAAATGTTGTATAGGGGGATAAAGACTATTATAAAATTAATATTCAAAAACAGCTCAGCATCGAATGTCAAATATTTGTTATTATTAGTTCTAATAGTATTTGTCTGAGTATTTCTCATAAAATTATTTTTTTGCAAACATTTTCAAAGCAGGTAGAGATAGGAAAATAATGGAATTTGATAACTGATTAATTGTCAGACTCTTTAATTGATCACATTCAGTTAATTGGTTATTCTCACATGATACTTGGATAGTTGGAATAACCAAAAATATTGACAATTTGAAACACTAATTTTGATCATTTGCTTATTTTTGTGATATTAATCAATTTAATCATAATTTTGATTAACCTATTATTTTACTTGTCGCTAATCCATATAATTGATATTTATGGCTTGAAATAAATTCTAGACAAACTTTGCTTTGAAACTTTCTTTTTAGCTTCAGGATTTATTTTCCTTAACTATCGTGCTCAACAGAAATTTATTAATCATGTTTATCATATTTAACTGTTGTGAACCCTTAAGGTGAAGTATGCACAATTGCTAGGAAATTTTAATGTAAATTTGAAGATATGTTGAGAAAGTTCTGTTAGATATTCCATTTCTAAGATTAATTTACTACAAAATAAACTATGAAAGCTGATATACTTTTTACAAAAAATAAGGTAAACATTTAATTTTTTTCAGAAGTTTTTATGATCATAAGATGAAATATATTTTTAAGTAAAGAATACTACTCATAGTAGGATATTGCATTTATAAAGATATAGACAAGAAGATGTTTTTAAATTTTGTATCAGCATAATGTGTTGATTTTTTAATCAATTTAGTGTAGATAAGCTGTACAAATGGTGCTGCGAGACATAATATTTGAATAACTAATTCATTACAAGCATATGAGGATGTTGATATTTTGATTTTTAAGCTTTCCTTACACATTTCAGTAAAACTTCTGTAGAGAAAAATGTTATAAAATCTTGGTACTTTAAACTTTTTGTGTAAACAACATACCTTGATAAAAGTATAGAAAAAATGCTTCAAAAGTCTTGCTTGATTTAAAAAGTACATTTATATTCTGTATTTAGATTCATAAAATTGCCATTGTACCAGAGGACAGGCTAGAAAAAGCCAAGAAAACTTTTGCTTGTTTGACAAGCATTCATATATATAGTGTACAAAAAACTAACCTGAAGGTGAGTATAATTAAAAATCATTTGTATAAGTAGTATACATAAGTTTTAATGGGTTTGTTTTAAATGATGTCTTTTGTGAGATAGGTTTCTTATTGTAATTTGTACAGAATATTGTGTTATCATGCACATGTTTGAGTTAAACATCAATCAGGGATTTTATATGTTTAAAGTGGTTGCAGTAATTGTGGGATAGTTTTTTGATATTAACTGTTTATATGCCCACCTGAAGTACTTTTTTTTTATCAGAGTTTTAATAGTGGATTTCCATGTATATATGTTTTTAAAATGTTTCAGTGGTAACTTTCAAGTAAAAAAATAAGAATGCCAGTTTCAAGCAAAATTTTCTCAAACCTTTGCTATTATACTTGTCTCTAGTAAGGTTTATGCTGTAAATGACAAGTATTGTAATATAACAATAATATTCTATTTTAATACATGAGCATATAGTTCTCAGATAATCTTTTGTCAAACCAACTTAATGAAAATTGCACATATGAATTAGTAGAATATGTGCAACTGTGTTACATTATAACAGCTTCTTTACAAACGTTCCTGTTTACTAACTTTAGTATATAATAGGTTGCATATTTTAAGAACTTATGGTAAAGTTGTGGTGGTCAGATCTGAACTATTGTCATGGTCATTAGCCTATACAATAACCTAATTAATGACAACAGTTGTTACATATTTTCTTCCTGTCCAAACAGGCCGAGTGTGACCCTATGGTTAGTTTGTTGGACTATGACTCTGAAGTTCTGGGTTTCATGCTCTGTTATCAGTAAAAACAATTGCAATTTGCACTTTGGGATCGTGGGTGTGCTATAAGACAGATGATCAAATACTATTTTTGATTAGAGTAGCCAGCGAGTTGGTAGTAGGTGGTATTGACTAGTTGCCTTACCATAGCCTATTATTTCAATATTAGGGACAACTAGTGCAAATAGACCTTGAGTAATTTTGTACAAAATTCAATAAACAACCAATCCTCTTCAATCATTCCTATTTTTTGAACTGATATGTTACTCTTGATATCGGGGAGTGTGGTAACGATCCATATGTAGGAATAAGTCTGGTTGAAATTGGAAGTTTGTACATTTTGAACATGGTAGCGTGCATGCTAGGACATAGACAAAACCTAGCCAAAGGGACAGCAGGAAGCCCTTCACGGTGTCTAAAGCTCAGCTAATCTTTCTTGTTGCCTAGAAAATGGGCTGAAAAACATCAATTTTCTGTATCTTCTCTTTTCTTTTCTGTCAGCTGTAACTCATAAAACACAGTGTTCCTATTTCCAATCTGCACACCAAAGCACACCACTATTCCCTAGGATGTGCCTTTCAAACCTAGAGCTCCAAGTGATCCACGATAGGTTAGTTACAGCCCAAAGTATATGTTGTGATACAGATTGTTTAATATTGTCCATTACACATATCAGTCGATAGATGGTGTGACCTGTGATGCTAATCCTGGCAGATTCGACATGTTTTGAAACATCTAACTTTTATGTTTACATTAAGCATTTACCAATAAGAAATTTCTGCTCATGCAGAAAGTTTTATTTCAGTGACTTGTGGTAGTAAAACTTAAAAAAGAAAATAATAGCAAGCATGAGAAGGTCGTTTTGCTGAATCTGTCAGTACACATTTCTGTTTGTCTGAATAAAAATTAAATCATAGATTTCACTCTATTGTCTGCATTTTTACAAACACCCATCACTTAAGATGTAATGTTTACCATCACCTGTTAGAAGAACAAAAAACAGTTACTTGAGATGTGATCTTGACCATGTGTTAGAAGAATGAACATGAATCACTTGAAATATTATGTTGATATACGTCTGTCAGGAAGTGCAGTGGTGATTACTATGTGGGGATAAGTCTTGTAGAAATTGGCAGTCTCTACATTTTGAACACAGTAGCACACATGTTGAACATTGACAAAACTTTGCCAGAGGGACAACAGAAAGCCCTTCACTAATCAGAAAGCATGGTAGAAATCCCTGTCTAGGGATGAGTCCAGTTAAAATTTGTGAACAGTCCATTGCATATGGTAGTGTGTATGCCAGGACATCAGGAAAGTCCAGCCAAAGGGATAGAGGCAAAAAGCCCTTCACTAATCAAGTACAAAATTGCCACTAAAGTTCAGCTAACCTTTCTTGACATAAAAACAAAAGGAGCTGCAAAAACATTGATTTTCTTCTTCATTCTTCTCTGTTGGCTGTAACTTATAAACCACAGTGTGCGTATGACCAGCCTGCACACCAAAACACTTTACAGCTCCCTAGGATGTGCCTTTTCATACCTATAGGAGCAAGTGATTCACAATAGGTTAGTTACAACCCAAAGTACTAATCGTGGTCTCTGATGAGTAAGCCATTATGTGTGTTATATGGAGGTAGATAATGTACTGCATACTCTTTACTGTGCCATGCAGTACCCTGGTCATGACTTATCTTGCTTCAAGAAATGGTATCTTCCACCTAGAAGTTACAGCCCAACTGGAAACTATGACTTAGACTTGTGAAAAATTTGGAAACTAGTAACAAAAAAAATTTTTTTAATGCAGGAATGGGTGATACAGATTTTCTCATCCCAACTGCTCTTTAGTTTCTGATCTTTTTCCATCCCTACATCCCAACAATTTTAGAATAAAATTTTTTGTTTGCAGTGATATATATATATATATATAATTTGTAGGTTACTTCTATATCTGTGGTACTTTAAAAGTCATTAGTGTTCTCATACAATTCCATGGAGTCAAGAATTAGATTGTTGAATTAAAATGTACTACTTAGTTGTATTAGTTAAGAGATTGATATAATGGCAACACCAGTTGGATCAATCCATAGTTATTTTTATCTTTATAAATAAATATGCTACTGTCATCTGACAGGTTAATCTACCAGGATATGTAATATCTGATAGCTTCAAATGATGGCAGACTACTAGAGATTGAAACCTTTATTAAATTAACTATTGTCTATTTTTTTGCCTCTTTTTTGCATATTCTTTCTTTGTTTTCAGTTTGTCTCTTAAAAAACTTTGTAGTTCCCCTCCAATTTTACTTCCTATAATCTATTGAATGAACACTAGTCATTTGTCTCATTTTTTAATTATTTGAGATGTAAAGATTTAAAGTTTACTACTGGCCTACTGTCATGTTAAACCAAGTTTGTTTCTCTCTATACCTATCCCACGAACATAAATTCTTAAATTATTATGCATTTGTGTGTGTGTCTGTAAAATGTTTGTAAACAAATTTAGGAAGATGAACACAAGTTAAAAAATGGTTGAGGTTTTGTTTGAATATTAAGATATGGTACCAAAAATAATAAAATTCAGCTGAAAGATTGAAAGATGTATATATGTTAATTATTTTTTGCTTCCAGGACTCCAGTCCTCTGTTTACTACTGATGTTTGTGATAATTTCAAAGATGGAGAGCTTGATCAGAGGTAAGTTATATTTTGTTCTTTTTTTGTAAATACTATTATAATTTCAAACCAAATTACAACAATTCTGGTTTATCATGAATAGAAATGATTAGGTTAGGAAGCAAAAAGGGAAATTTTATTTTACTTACCATGGTGTAAAAACAGAAAGAAAATGCTTTGAAACAGAAGCATTTCTTTATTTTGCACAATTTAAATGTGTAATCATAATTTGACAAAGAAATATAATTTGTTTTAAGAAGATAACCTTATTCTTTACCTGCATGCTCTGTAGTGTTGATCATATAGTATGTCAAACTTTGTTGATAAATTAATTCAGAGAATACATACTGAAGGAAACTTCTTTTAATATATTATTGCTTTCTAAGTTGAGATTTAAGTGTTTGAAATGAACATTAGAGGATTTGATAATATTTAAAAAAGTACATGGCTTTTCTTTTTTCTAACTTTCACCATTTTAGTTTCCTTGGGAGTCATGAATTGTTACAGAAAATCTCAACCTACAATTTTCACCAGAGTACTTTGTCATTAATTAATTTTTTTTAGTAATTTTTTTCATTTCTCACCTATGCCTTATGTTTTTTTAAATAAAGCTGATAGACCAAGGAGAGAAACCACATGAAATAAGTTTGATCAAAAGTAAACTGAGTAAATAGTAATGAAATCTGTTGAATAAAGCCAACTTTCCAAGACAATATGTTAGCAACCTCCTCTCACAGATATCTTTCCTGATTCATTGCTGCCCTCTATATACAAACTTTTTTTACCCAACATTAGCCTTGAGACTCCCACTAAATCTTGCATGTTTCCGCATGATATTGCAACATTGTTGCATGCTCGAATGAGCATGCAACAACCCTCCACCATAAGAGTGTGACATCATCTCCTAGCATAGCTGGTTACCTCTGTAATGATTATTAAATCATCACTTCTCAATTTGGCATTTGTATGTTCAGACATGTATTTTTTTTGCTTGTGTGCTATTTTCAACATCAATGTTGTATTGAAGAATCTACAAAACCAACTGTTGTGGCTCTTATTTTCCACAACATGAATTACACAGAAACTGTTATTTCCATGCTGTCTAGGATTGAACATCAGGACTTTGTTCACTCTAAACTGCCTATCAAAATGGTGTCAGAGGCTTCTTTGTCTATCAGGGGACGTGACAGCATTTGTGCGGCAAGTGGAGAAGTCTTGCCTGTGGCTTGGACGTTTTTCAGGCCTTGACATGGACTTCTCTCCTTCTATATAATTCCTGCCCATGAGGTGTGGATTTTTGGCAGTCTTTTCTTGCCTCCTAAATTTGCAAACAATTCTTCTTGTGCAAATCTAAATCTACCATGACATTCTGCATCCTTCCATGACTTTTCTCCTCAGGTTTGTTACCTTTCTTCACTCTCTCCTATTTCTCATTAATTTTCACTTTTCCTTCTTTATTCAGCCCCTTCTTCAGGATATGTTTTTCCTCCTCCTACTGATATCTGAACCCATGCTGAAAAAAAATGCTTTGGCTTATAATTGAGCTGAAGCCCTTTTCTTAGATTCCAAAATTCAGGAGTCTCTTCTTCAGGGTTGAGATTATGATTTATTGTCTTCTATTAGTCTTTTTCTCAGTTATATCACTTTTGACTTACCTTCATTACCTTTTTATGTTATCTCTCCTCCATCCATTTCCATTTGGAAGCAATCCACTGTTCACTTGAGGAGTTTTTAGCAGTCTCTCTTTCTCTTCCTTTTTTCAATGTTAGCTTGTTTTTTTTTCTTGGCCTTGTCCCCTTCTCACTTGGTTACTCTGTTGCTGGGATTTTGGGGATGCCCTTCTTGCCCAAGTACATTTACCTCCCTCTAATTACAGGGAAGGGTCCTTTGTCTAGCTCATTTCCTCTGCCAGTGTTTTTTATTTGGGAGGTGCAGGGGGGTATCTGATTCTTTAGAGTTACAGGTTGAGGCCATTTGACAACATTTTTTCTTGACTACCCTTGTGTCCCATCTTTCCCGAGTTCTTCTCTTCCATTTGCTTTCTCTTGTTCTTCTGACACCTTTTTGCTCCCTGTTCTTCTGTCCTGTTCCTCCTCTCCCATCTGATTTTCTACTAGCCATAAGTTTCAGCACTGACAGTCTTCTTTGTGATTATTTTCTGGCTAAATTTGTTGATCTATGGATTCCTTTTTCAGATGGCAATTGGGGTCTTCAGATTTTGTCTGTTAGTCTTACCCTTCACTTTTTTCTCCTCCTCCCTCGTCTCCTGTTCCTTTCATTCCTTCAGGGATCCTGTCTTCCATTGGCACCTCTCTGAGATGGTGTTAGACCTTTTTTGCCTAGGTTGTTATCAACAGTGTTTCTCACCATTCTCCAGTATTTATTCTCATCTGTTTGTCATTCCCCTTTACACTGGAGTCTGGTGTTTGGTCATCATTTTGTTACATCTCCATCAGTTTCCATAGTGAGTTTTCTCACTCTCCTGTTGTCTTTTTCTTCAGGGCTTGAGATAACCAAGGTTGACATCTCTGATGTTCATCTTCACATTCACATCTACCCAGCATCCAGACTTAACCTATGGGCTTTTTTTAGCTACATTCCAAAAGGACTCCTCTGACCATACTTTTCTCATTTAGGAAATTGCCCATCTAGGTTGGCTGGTGAAGTTGGGAAGGTCTCCTCTCACACCCACTCAGTATCTGGTTCACTTGGGTGTGTTGTTCAATTTCCATCTCAACAGGACTTAGCCATATCTGCTTCATTTGTGGGCCATAGAGAGTTAGGTTTTCACAGTTCTGTCCTCTATGAATCTTCCTGCATGAAAGGTTCTTTCTCTTTTGGGGACTTGGACTTCCATGGAACCCCTTATTCCTTGGGACATGCTCATATACATCTTTTTCAGTGGATTGTGCACAATCTATGGAACCTCTCTTAGGATCCTTTATTTATCTTTCCCCTTCCCTGTACAACAATTTCATCTGGTGGCCCATTGGGATTAATACAATGGAGGATGTACCTTTTCTTCCCTCACGTCTAGATCTTCATCTTTTTTACAGTGTTTCTCTGATGAGATTGAGGTCCTATCTTGTCTCTTTCAAGATTTCAGGTCAATGAAACCTAGAAGAATTGATTCTTCATGTCAACCTCTTGGATCTTTTCAGAGATTCTTTGGCTTTGATCATTTTCTTCCAATTATATGAGGGCTGTTTGGTAATGATCCATTCAGACAACTCAATTGTGGTATCCAGTATCAATTGCCAGGGGGACACTTGGTCATGCTGTTTTAGTTTTCCAACCCTCAACCTTATCTTCATCTTGTAGCCTGTCATGTTGTGAGTGCCCTGGGTCTTGTTGCAGATCTCTTGAGACCCAAAAAGATATTTTTCATGGGGTGGTTTCTCAATCGTAGTGTTTTCAGTGACTTTGCTCTTGTCTTGGCACCTTTCACATTGATGTTTTTGCCACTTACACAATGTCAGGTTTCTCATATTCTGTATCTGTAACCACTACTGGTGGGTGTATTCAATTAGGACTGGTTTATCCTCTTCCTTTATGCTTATGCTCGTATTCATCTCCTCTCTTGTGTTCTCTCCCTCATTCAAGACACTCCATATCAGGTCCTTCTGATGGTGTCATACTAGCTGGCTCAGTTGTGGTCTGGTGCTGGATTGGTGCAGAACCAACCAATATAAGTCTTCATTCAGTTGCAGTTTGGATGTTACATTCCCATTCTTCCTCACTGGGCTTAAGGTGAAGATTGTGGGGACCCTCCTCCTACCATGGCCCAGAAGATGAATTTCTTGGTGCTACCTGGTTTTGGATTGGAGTTGACCAACCATGTATGCTTCTAGATACATCACACATCTAGCACTTCTAATAGCCTGATGCAGGTTTTGGACTGTGCTTGTATTTTCTGCCGTCCTTGAGACACTTCCCTTTTTTATGGGCAAATAATGTACCCTGGTTCAAATGAGATGCAGTCTTCCTTGGGTGAGCACCTGTACTGTTCCATGATCTAGGGTGTCACACTTCATGGTTTTTCTTGAAGTGTGACAAGGGATTGGGCTAGGAGAAATCAGCATGGAAAGATTATACTTGGCTCAGTCCTAGGTACAAATTTTGCACCATTTCAGTCTGGGATTCTAGCTATGTGAAAAGAGGTTATGTATCATATTGGGAAAGTTAACATTTTCCAACACTGTAAATGTATTTTCAATGGATACTCATCTCTACTCACACTTTCCTCCATTCCTCTCCAGTTTTGATGCATCGTATGTTTTTCCCTAGTGTCAAAGTGATGATTGAACAATCAGTGTAGAGGGAGCCAGCTGCACTAGGAGGCAGTGTTACATTCCAATTAGTAGAGGGTTGTTTCATGTTTATTTGCATGCAACTTTGCAGCAGTATCACACAGAAACAAGTGAGATTAGGTGGAAGCCTCAAGACTAGTGGTGAGAAAATAAGTTTGCATATAGAGAGCAGCACTGAATCAGGAAAGCAATATGTGAGTAGAAGTAACTATATCATGTCATAAAATAAACACACAATAAAACTAAAACCTATAATGATTATATAACATATAACAATGTTTAGGGACAACAAGGGACTTACTGGTCTATCTAGGATGTCCCATTATCTAAACTAAATTTAAACCTCAAAGCCAGCCCTTAACATTCGTATAGTTATGGCTCGGTCCTAGACAAAAACCACTTCTGACCCTAAAACCTGGACTCCATTGACGGAAAGTGATGCTTTGCATTTGGTTTTGTTGTTATTTAAAAGCACTGTAAGATTAATAATTTATTCATTTATTTGTTTTGTAAAATACTACAATTGGTGGACTGTATTTAGAAAGAAAAAAAAGCTAGCTTTGACTATTATTCATGTTATATAGTACTATTACCTTTTGATATGGGTGAATATAAAATGTTAAATAATGATAATATATTATAAAACCTACAGGCTTTGTGGAATAAGGCCTTTTAAACCATTAGAAAATCAGTCTTGGGCAGAGAGGGTTGTACAGTTAAGCCCATCTTCATCACAAAATGACAGAAATGCATCTTCAGCTAAACCAAAGGTAAAATATGATCATTATTCTTGGAAAAAAGTAAATCTGTGTATACATTTTTTCACTTATTGTAGCACGTAGTTTTAGTTGAGAAATTGAGTGATTCAAAACTGATTGGAGAATTTAAGTGAAACATGTAGGTAGTTGTAATGCTGTGTTATACTTTTAGAGTGTTTAAAGTAAACATCAAAAAATAGTTTATATCATAAAAGTAATATTGTTAATTTTTGCTTTTAGTGGCCGTAACGTTTGATTTACCTTTACATAGTATTGAAAATTTATGTGAATTTTATTGCTGATTTAATATTTTTGTTTTGTTTACTGCAACATTAAAATTATTTGAAAATGAGCTTATTTAAATGTTGCAGATGTTAATGTAATAACATTTCCTAGTTAAGAAAAAAAATTTAATATTTTGATCACTTTAAGTTTACTGAAATTATAGTAGCAATATTTAGGAGCATAGTTAAAAGTATAAACACAAGAATACAGAAACAGTTAAATGAAAATCAGTAGAGCAGTATTTTACAAAGTTAAATTTAAAGGAGTCTTCCATGTACACAATGACCACTATCACACAAATAACTGTCTACATGAAGCAGACCAATGGTCATTTCTAGGAACAATATCGATTTGTTTAGGATGTAGCAAATATATGTAGCCATCATATTATTTCAAAATACATATCTTAAAGGATGGAATGATTGAATCAGTGTATATTTATTTTTGATAAGTAACAGGGTGTAGGAGGTCTGCAATTAATAAGTATATAAATATTATTGACTGTCTTAAGTGGTTTCCATTTGTTGTAGTCTGTAGGTGAAAGTAACAGTCTAGATATTGAAAGTGAAACAGAAAACAATGAAAGGAAGAATGAAAAGCTTGAAAAGAAAGCAACAGAAGAAAAATTCAGGGAGAAAGAAGTTAACATTAGAGAACAGAATAAAAAGCAAGAAAAAAAGGTGTGATTATGTGTCTGTGTGTGTGTATATTATATATGTATGTATATTATTTTACATTTTTGATTTCAAAAATGCATAGTGATTATAAAAGAAACCCTATCAATATAACTAAAAGAACAGTGCGTGTCAGTCAGTAGTTGCGTCTATGCATGCTAGCTCACATGAAACCCGAGTATTCATTACTATTGGCTAATTGTGCAGTTATACTTTCACATTTATACGAGTGCAAAACTACAATATTTATAAAGACAATTCCTTCAGTAACTTAAATATGCAAGGAAACACATTAAGTTAGATCTTTACCCTTCTGTGTCTTATAAGTAATGCAATACCATTAGATCTCAACAGAAATTCCAACAGGTGCCTAAAAATTGACAACTAAGCCTAAAGTTTAAATATGCTTTCTAAAAAAAAAACAAGTTTACCTGCTTTATAATCTACAACATTTTGCCTTAATAGTCACTGCCATAATTTCATTCGTTTTTGATACTCTACAGCTAACACGTTGTGTGAAAGAAAATAATTACAGGTTTCAGATGACATACATATGTGATTTAGACATATATATGTATATAAAATTTACCAAAAATACATGATAATAGTTGATTTTTACACTTGATACCAGAATTTTAAAAATTCAGTCTTTCATAACTATTATACATTTCAAACTATTTCAATACATGTGCCTAAAAATCAACAATTAAGCCTAAACTCTAAATACTCTTAATTTGAAAAGAAATATTACACCATTTCTGTTATTGGTGGTAGTGGACTTGATGCTTTGCTAATGCATTAGGGGAGAAAAAAAAAAGAGTTAATACTATTAAGGAAGGAAAAAGAAAATTAAAGGAAATAGTAAAGTACAAAGACAGTTGATTTTTTACACTTCTTGGTACCACAATTTTTAAAATTGGCTATTTTATAGCATCACTTTATGAAGAGTTCAATCAAGAAAAATCTGAAGATTTTAGACAAGATGGCAATTATCCACAAAGGCAAAGAGTTTATACGAAAAATGTTGTGTAGAGAGAAATATATTTCATAGATAGTCAATCCATGTTTTTAACTCTTTACTTTAATTCTGAATATAACAACTCTGTATTCTGCTTAGTGGGTTTTTGTTTCATTCATGTACAACTATATAATACTGCAACAGCATTATTTAAAGGATTTATCTATTTAAATCGTATATCTTTGTCACATATATAGTATTCCACTTAATAATGCTGCTTATGTAATAAAAATATTTCAGCTTTGCCATATAGGGCACAGTACATACTTTATGTGCAAGAGGTCGAGGATTTTATTCCAGCTACATCCCTTTAAAAACTTTTTTTTCCTAAACAATGTTTGAGTAGTCAGGTAATTTTAGTACATATATTGTACAGAAAGCACAAGTTTATCCCTTGGTATTAGGAACTATTATGCCTTAAAAACTTTGTTTTAAAGGATTAAAAGATAAAGAATCATAAGATATATTTAGGAATGTTTAAACAAGATGGTTTTCTCACAAACTAGCTTTATATTTATTCTTTCTCTTTCTGTTTCAACAATTCAAAATTGGTGATTTTGATAAAACCAGTCTTTGTGGTGAATCATGCAACTATTCTTTGAATGTACTTACAAAATAATGACAGTTTTACTTTGGTCAAAAGGTGTTTTCAAAGAGAAAACTGATGCCATGCCCATTTATTAGTTGATAAGATCTCCAGATTCTGAAATAGTAACTTTTTTGCTGTGGTTAGGGAATGTTTTTGGACTCATCCACAAAATTTGGAGGATCTGAAAAATGCCCATATAATGAGATTGCAATCATCAATGAACTAGTGTGTTGGTACAATACAGGATTTTTTGATTGCAATCATTTTGTTACAATATATTGAGATAAATCCATTTATTGAGGTATTATATATTTGCTTGCTTCTAAAAATAAATTAGGAATGTGACATTAAAAGGATGATAAATATTTTTAGAGTTTGAATAACTTATGGTGCATTAGCTTTAATTTATGCATTATTTGTTCATTTGACTTTCTTCATTCTAACTTTTCATTATTCTCTCAGTTGTTTTATTTAATGTATTTTTCTTTATTTGATACATTTGAATGTTTTTAACGATTTTTGAGAAAGAGAAGTGGCCATAACAAACTATTATTTTTCCAGATATATCTAAAAAAGTTTTTTGTATACCCAGATCTCTAGTAAAACTTGGTTTACTACATTGTTTAATAATTACAGTGAACTACCTAAAAATAGTTTTTTTATTGAAAAGTTTACTTGGTATTTTGAATGACTTTAGCATATTTGATTGATATATATTCATTCTCTAGTTAAATTTAATTTTGATAATAGCAGAAACTTACAATTTGTTAGTCTAATATTGAATACATTACTGCATGTTGTGATATATTGCATAAAGTATTTCATAGCAACATTACTGTGAATGCTGTCCAAAACAGTTGATGCTTATGTAGCTTCTTTTAAGGATAGATTTAATATTTACTATCCTGAATAAATTTGCAATCCTTGAAATACCTTTGATGAAATCTTGTTCCCTTAATGGACAAGAAGTTTTTAAAGATATAATAGTTTTATATGTGGGGGTTTACTGTAAAATCATCTTGAATTTCAAGTGTAAAGAGTTTTGATTCATATTTGTATGAAATTAATTTTTATCGGTAGATATTCTTCCTTATTTTTGTTACAGAAACTTCAGTCAAAGTCTACTCCTCAGCTGAAACAGAAACAAGCAAATGTTATGTCACTCTTCAGTAAACAAACACAAAAATGTAAGTTTGATAAACTGGCTGCTTTTCTTATTGTGAAAATCTTATTCTTTAATTCTATGTTTTAAAAAGAACAGAAGCTCACCATTTTTGTAGCAATTAACTCCATCCTACGAGGTTGGTCGATGTGATTGACCCTGTAACTACAAGCACTATCATAGTTTCTCTACTATAACTTTTAATATATTTAGTTTAGCTTCATGAACTTTGGTAGTCTCTAAGTAAACATTATGTGTATTTTGTACACAAAAAATCAGATTTTTTAATTAAGTATTGTTACTAAAAATTTGTCCGTAAATATTTGGTGTCAGAGTGTTGACTGCTCTGAGTGCAAAGTGACTTTCATGTTAAGATTAAAAATACTTTTATTCATCTACAAATTTTCAAATTTCTTTTGAGCAACCTCTACAACCTCCTAAATAAATAATTATCAAATGTATTTTTATAAAACTGTATATTTTATGTGTTATTTTCTCTACTCTAACTATATAAACTCAGTCAATTTAACCAGCCTTGTAACTGCCATAAAAATATAAAATAAATGTAAAGTACCCTTTCTTTCTTTCTTGAATGACTGCAAATTGTAACAGAAAGCTACAATTGTTTATTATAATAGCTTAAAGCTTATAACACTTTACATCTGTTTCTACTTTATTTTGTTGTTTTACTGCACTTTGAACTGTGTCTGATTGATAATCCTGCCATAGAAATTTTAAATCACTCTGTGAATGTATAGCTCACGTTACTGTATTGAAGAATTATTATTATTTTCACTCTCCTACATAATCTAACCTAATAAGTTTCTAATTTGTACATTTTAGTTATTTTTATAACAATAAGTAAAAAATATTCAGGAAAAACAAGAAATATAGTACTTACATTTGATCTCTTGGTGTTTTTATCTGTCAGTTGCCAATCAAATTTAAGGTTTTTTTATAATGATGGTACTAGTACACTAAATATATTTTATTCACTTAAATAATACACTCAAGAACACCAAATAGTAACATACACAGAGCAAACAATGTTCTATAAATATTATAATTTAACTGGCTTTCTAAATAAGACAAAAGGGGCTTTAAATAATTAATTCCCTTAGCTATTCTATCTGAATACTGCAAGATAAACTTTCAAACTGAAGATGAAATTGACACTACTCTCTACTGAAAACATCATAGCATTATATATCATTCGATAGATTAAAATTTTCTTTTCTGTTGTTTATAAATGATATAGTGTGAAACATCAGAGAGAATTATTGGCAATTTGTGAAAGAGAGGATGTGACAGGTGGGTTTGGCAAATGTGTGTGATTTTCTAATTTATGACTCCGTAAACAAATAAGATTGAAGGCTAAAAAATGAGACTTTGCTGTTGTAATACCTATATTATAAGCCCCCTAGTGGTACAGCGGTATGTCTGTGGACTTACAACACTAGAAATTGGGTTTCGATACCCGTGGTGAGAAGAGCACAGATAGTCCATTGTGTTTATTTGTGCTTAACTACAAATAAACCTATATTATAATGAGTAATTTATGTTAAATTCTGTACTTCAAAGAGGGGTGGTAAATAAATTAGAGAAAGGAAAATACCTAGAGAACAAATGCCATGATTCTTAAATTAGGGGAGATATGATGATTTATTTAAATGTTTCCTTATAAAATTAAGAGCTTAAAACTTATATAATACTAAAGTTTGATTTATTAACTATGTTTTGATGCCAAGTTTATTCATATACATCGATAATATGATAGTTTAATCAAATTTTGAATGTAACTCTGAAAAAGGTCATGACATGCACTTTGACCTACTAGTAGTGAGAGGGTTAAATGAAAAATATAAATAACCCTATAGTATGTTTGAAGTAAAAGTTATCCAAAAATACAAGGATAGCTTGTTCAGAGTAAAAACATATATTTTGTGTACCTAACTGTGATCACAGTATTGCAAGTTTGTTTAAACAACACAGATTTCAGTTTGTTATTTTTTTATGTGTAAATTGGGGGAAAAATGAGATAATATGGTGTTGAATGTGTTTGTAATTGCTCTAATGGGATATATGTACATATTTTCAATAAAGAACTTTGACTTCTCAAGAAAAGTTATATGCAATGAAATATTAAGTCAGTAAGCCAGCTTTCACAAGATTACAACTGCAAATATTTTAAAAGAATTTTATAAGTCGTTTTGTTAAATTTTTTATGCTTTATCACTGTGATGGCAGTTGGTTAATAGACCAATATATTTTTTAACACTAAGTTTTAAGAATCCTTTGGGCTTAAGTATTTTGAAGGAATAATGCAGTTTAAAAGACTAATAGAATTTTTTATATGTTTAAAAACAAAACATCAAAGATTATTATATAAATCTTCCTTTTATTATTTTTCCTTCCATTCAGTTGTTGTTTGATTCAGATAAGCAATTATGAATTATTGATTTGGTGTGTGTATACGTGAGGTTTTTCCAAGTTGTTTTCATTAGCACATTTTAGTCAAACAGTTGAATATAGCTGTTTTATACAGAAAAGTATACAATTTAAATTAATAAAGCTAACACAGAAAAGTATATATTATTTTTTGTAACTGCTTGGTATCTTACTGCATGTAATTTATTTTAATGCTGTAATTTAGCCAGACATTAAAACAAAGTGTTTATATAAGGTTTCCACTTCTTTAGAAAAAGTAAAGAAAAAAAGGGGAATACTTGATAGTAGTCAGTGATTGTTCTTTTTCAAATTCTAATTGTATTTGTTTATAAAAATTAATATAACTACATGCATGTTTATGTACAGATAAAAGGTTGGAAAATTATGGTATTCATTAGTAAGTCAGCAGAAATACAGTGTATTTGATAGTAGGAACTACTGTGATCCTTGGAGATTTTAGAAAACTGTTTTTGCATAAAAATATTTTCCTGATGAGCTATTAAAATGGAAAAGTTCTGCTATAATTTCTTTCTAATATTAATTATCAAAGATGCGGAAGACTTCTACTTTTGAAAAAAAGATTCACTTGCAGTCTGAATTTTGAATTCTTGTGGTTTGTCAAACTTCTCTTCTAGGTTATTGTTAATACCACCATTAAAATGGGAATGAAGATGTGACAAAAATGTCTGATCAATATTTGAAACTGGTTTAGCCTATAAATAATATAATGATTAAATTAATATTTTTCATAACTTGGACCATTTTTTAGCTGGAGTTAACAATATCTTGAATATTATTAATAATCAGTTTACCCCTAAAGAAGAAAGGTCCACTTTTTGAAAGCACTCAGGTTATAGGTATTGTATCTTTGAATATTAAGTTATCTTAGTGCTTATATATCATATATTTATTTGTGACATTTGAACATTTTACATTTAATCTTTTCTCTGCTGAGGACTGGTGGTGACTAAAATCTTGTGGTGAATTTTGAGTTAAAGACACAGAGGGTTGTTTTTTCTAAGAGATTTATTTGGTTTAGTAAACAATTTAGAAGTGAATCCTTCTGTGTGATGCACGTACATACGCTAAATGTTAGCGTATACAATAGATCAGTACAGATGACACAAACCAGTTTTATAAACAATCTTATGAAAATAGTATTATAAAAATATGTGTACCTGTTTAATATACAGCATTTCTATTAACCAATAAATACAAGAAAGAGAATACTGACTGGCAGGGATAAAGCTGATGGTCATTCTGACCAACTACAAAACCTGTGTGAGGGGTAGCTATTTTAGTGTATGCATATTAACTTAGTTTTAATTTCAAAAAAGAAATACTTAGAAAATTCCCAATCTTTATTTTCCTGTGTCACGTGATTTCTCTGATTTACAATTTCTCTACTTCAGAATTTTCTACCTCAAAAATAAGCTGCTTAGTTTCCAAACAATTAGAAACACAAACTCCACATAATTACAAGCAAGAACATAAAATTTGAAAATTTCACCTTCTTAATTTTTTGAGATATCAATAAATTTGTCACATCTT